GGGGGGGGGGGGGGGGGGGGGGGGGGGGAGTGTGTGTGCGCGCATTTGTGAGAGAGAATATAGAATTTATGTCTAGGGGAGAGGAAGCAGGGAGGGACGGGAGGCTGAGCCCTGGGAAGCAGTACAGAATGACAGGGGCTCCCTCTGATTTCCTCAGGCTCTGGCATCAGCTCCTGCCCTCCAGCTCTTTCCTCTCCACACCAACTAGAGAATGAACATGTGGACCAATCAAGTCTTGACTTCCAAAGCCACAAGTCTCCCCAACAAAGTGCCCCACCCCCTTCCCTAGAGATGACCTCCAGGGCAAGGCAATGAATGGGGTTAGGAAACAGATGGATGTGCGGAGAGCCTCCAGAGCTAACCTGACCCCTGACCCCACCAGTTCATGTACTCTAATCCAACTTTCCAAAAGGGAGGGCAGATGCACAGGGCCCCCATAACTTACTGGAATCCTTGGGACAAAGATTCCAGACAAAATGGTTCCAGACACGTGGGGAGACGGGTAGCTACACATACAGAGCTGGTGGAAGCCACAGGTACAGAGGAGAGGGGGAATTCCCGGCCATCAGAGAAACAGGGCCACAGGTGGTGGGAGAGGAGAGTGGTCAGTGTCTGTTCTAGGGAAGGGACTGTGTAGCCAGGGAACAGGAGGAACTACAGACCTGGGGCATGGGAGGTGGCAGGGACGCAAAAGCTGCAAAGACATCTCAGGGCTCTACACATCACAGGCAAGCAAAGATTTGGTGGGTGTGTGTGAGGGGGACGCAAACTCACACTTCCAGGAATGAGTAGTTCTTATGAAAAGCTCCCCCATTCCCAGAACAGGAGGAGAACGAGGAGGTCCTAGGCGCCCACCGCCCTCCGAGCCGGGTCTGCCCCTCAAGTCTGAGATGCTGGCTCCCCACACCCACCAGGCAGGATCGATCTCGGTCCGCCCCACTCCTGGCTGTCAGTCTGCAGCCTGCGCGTCTCCGGGTGCCCACTGCCCCTCTTCACTCATCAGGGCCCCGATCCCAGGCCGGGAGGAGGGGTGCAGGCCAGGGGCGGCCGGGAGCCCCGCTGACAGGCCCGGGGTGGGGGAGCCTAGGGAGGGGCCGGGGACACCGGTAGCTGGAGCGGCGCTCTGCAAAGTGATCCAACATCGCCCCATCCCCGAGCTCCGGGAGCAGGCGGCCCAAGGGGACCGCCTCCCGCCTCCCCAGAAGACTCCCGCAAGTGGGGTGAGCGCCGAGGGGCGCCGAGCTCCCAGCCCCCACGCCCGCCCCAAACGCAACCAGCACCGCCGTAACAACAGGAATCTCGGCAACTCCTGCCCCGACAACGAGGGGGGACTGCCCCCCAACACACACGCCTCGGCAACAGCCCTCCTTCCCCAAACTTGTCCGAGACGCCGCGGCCAGGACGGCAGCCCTCAGCCCCGGCCCCCGGCGCCCTGCCCAGCTTACCTGTCCGGAAAAAGGCGTCCACGTCCGAGTCGGCTGCTCCGCCTTCCTCCGCCGCCCCCTCCGGGGGGTTCATGACTGAGAGAGGGCGTCCGCGGGCAGCCGGCGGCCAGCGACGCCTGGAGCCGAGGGCTGCTCGGAGCCCGGTGGGCGGAGGGCGCGGGGCGCGGCGGCCGCGGGGCT